GAGGGGCTGATGGCTGTTTGCAGGCTGGTCAAGCCCCCCCCCCCAGTGGGAACCCTCACCCCATAGAGGTTTGGCAAGCCTGGGTGAGGGGCTGATGGCTGTTTTCAGGCTTGCCACATCCCCTTTAGGGTGGGGGGTCCCCACTGGGGTGCCTGGCCAGTCTGGGGAGGGGCTGAGGGCCATTTTCAGGCTGGCCAAGCCCCCCAGCAATGGAAGCTCCCAGCCTCTCCTTTTTTTCTTTTTTCTTTTTATTCTGGGATTTATTTACCTTCTATAATTGAAACTTTGTTGCCTTCAGTGGAGCTCAGAGCTGGCCTTGGGAAGCTTGGCTTCCTCCATCACTGGGGCAACCAAGCCTCCTGCTTGCTCCAGCTCTGTGGCTGCCGGCCGCCATCTTGGTTGGGTTAATTTGCATATAGTTGCTCTGATTGGCTGGTGGGCGTGGCTTAAGGCGAAGTGAAGGTACAGTCAATTTGCATGTTTGTCTTTTATTAGATTAGATTGATTTCAGAGAGGAAATGAGGAGAGAGATCAGCTGCCTCCTGATTGAGCCTGCAATCTGGGCATGTGCCCTGAATGGGAATCGAACAGTGACCTCCTGGTTCATAGGTCAACACTCAACCACTGAGATACGCCACCCGACACCACCATTTTACTTTAATAACTGCTTTCCATGCAAAGAACTAAAAGATCACTGCAAGTTCCCCATGACATCAACAGATGCAGTTTTGCTTCTTGGCTTTTGGTTACTGTTCTGGTTTAAGTATTAAGCATTACTTTTTTGTCTCAGAGTTGATCACTGTTTTATGGATGACATTTTTTTAAGTGGAAGAGAGGGGGAAAAGGAAGTATAAGAGAGAGGTTTGGCTTCCTGTTATAAAATAAGTCATGAGGATGTAATCTATGGCATAAGGAGTAAAGCTGATAATATCGCCATAACTATGTATGTTGTCAGATGGTTACCAGGCTTATTGTTGTGATCACTTTGTAAGGTATGTAAATGCTGAGTTACTATGTTGTACACCCGAAACTAATGTAATACTGTATGTCAATTAAAATTTTAAAATAAATTAATCTTTTTAAAGATTTAATAAAATTATAAAAAAAGAGATGGATTGGGATAAAATTTTCTTCTTGGAAATCTCTTGAGTAATAAAGCTACTTATTGTATTATGTCTTATTTTTAGAGTGCTTTGAGCTCACCAGAGAAGAGAAGCCATTTTAGAATTAGAAAAAAGTATATATCTTATACTCTGTTGTCATAGCAACCCCTAGTCTAGCAGATGTAAGATAGATTGCACACTGTTGTTTCTGTGGCATGACTGCTATGTGTGTATGTGTGTGTGTGTGTGTTTTGCGTGTGCGTGTGTGTGTGTGTGTGTTTGTGGTGTACTGAAATATAGTAAGCAATAGCTGGAATCTGGGACTGATATAACTAAGTAAAACTTTAGATAATATGGTTCTCAGATTTTCCTCCTTTTTCTTTTGGTGTCATCAGAAGAGTGAGCCTTGCAACAGATCCAGTCTATCCCCGTTAAGACAGAACTATATTGATCATGCTTTAAACATTAAAAATCCTTTCAAAAAGAGTATACAATTGTGATATTGAATACTCCCTGCCAAAGTTCTCCATTTTAGCTAGCTCCATTCTTTCACATTGCAATTCAAATCTTTTTATTAATTCCTTGAGAATGAGGGGAGGCAGTTTCTCATTATTATACTTTTCCTTCGATGTTTAATATTTCCATTTCATTTTATTTTTTCTCAATAGGTTCTGCTTTTCAACAACTTCATCATCTTCATGATCACTAAATTTGTTTCCACTGGTACACTTGTAACTTAATCTTTATTCAGTCTCATATCCAAAATATTTTAGATACATAAATAAGTATCAACTATTTATTTCAAGTTATGGGTACTTGAAACCTCTTTTGGCTGGCATCTTTCATTAATGCCTCTTGCTCTTTATTACACGGTTTATTTTATTAACAAACTGATGCAGTGAGAAATTTGCGGTCACATTTTACATTCCATTATATTACATTTCACCCACTATGCTGGTGATCATATTACTGAATATTTATGGACAGAGTGCAAACAGATTCAGGGTGATAGTGGGTAACAGCTGGTCATAAATGTCAAACTGTAAAGTTTACATTTGAATCTTACTACATCAGCTGAGAAAGGGGCATTACCAAATATACTTCACTGAAAATTCTAAGTTAGCAAATTTTGGTTCACTTTTTTAGCTTGTCATTTTCTTTAACCATGTACATTAATATAAATACAATATTTTTAACACAATAATTTTTTCCATTAAAAATTCCAGCTAGATGCAAAATTAACACATACTGGCTGATTTAATTTATATGAAGTTGTAGAACAGGAAGAACTAATTTATGATGATAGAAATCAAAACAGAAATTACCTAAGTAGGGATCTGACTGGAAATGGGAATGAGGGACTTTCTAGGGTGACAGAAATGTTCTTTATCTTAACTGAGGTATTGGTTACACAATGTATCATACATTTAGCAAAAGCCATTGAATGTATACTTAAGGTCTGTCTGTGCATTAGGTACATAAAGTATCACAATAATAATATTTTTAAAAAAAATCCTGGCTAGCTATTGCATAATAATACACATAAAGGTTTGCAAAATAAAAAGAGAGCCCTGACCGCTGTTGCTAGAGTGTGAGCCTGCGCATTGGAGGGTCTTGGGTTCGATTCCCGGTCAAGGGCATGTACCTGGGCTGCAGGTTCGCTCCCCACCCACTGTTGAGGTGCATGTGGGAGGCAACCAATTCATGGGTCTCTCTCACATCAATGTTTTTCTCTCTCTCCCCTCTCTCTTTCTTCCTCCCCACTCCCTTCCACTCTCTAAAATATCAATGGGAAAAAAATCCTCATTCCTCGGGTGAGGATTAAAAAATAAATAAGTAAGTAAGTAAGTAAGCAAGTAAATAAATAAATAAATAAATAAATAATTTAATATACTTTATGAAAATAGTTACATTAAAAAATCAAGATAATGACCAGCTTTTGTGCATCAACAAGATTGAGAAGAAGCTATTTCTAAATTTTAAGTGTTATAAGTTAATGAGATGACAGATTTTTTCTTCTTTTAATTTATCTATATTTTCTACTTTTATGAAAAGGAAGTATAAGAGAGAGGGTTGGCTTCCTGTTATAAAATAAGTCATGAGGATGTAATCTATGGCATAAGGAGTAAAGTTGATAACATCATCATAACTATGTATGTTGAATGTATAATCATATTTTAATGGACTTGTTTAAATATGTGCTTTTTCCAATGTTAAACTTTGAATATGAATCAGATGACTTTAGATAATTATCATCAATTTTATTAGGTACAAAATATGGTATGTTATTTTGTACGAAAGTATCCTAAGATTTCTGGTACTGATGCCAAAGTATAAAGTTCTCTACAAAAGTATTAATGCTTCCACTGCAATTCCTTCAGGAGTATTGCATTGCCCCAGCTTATGGCCCATTCATGTACTCACATATGTAAATGTAATTCTTGGTCCTTTTTGACCAAGATGTAAGGACTAAAAGCGAGTTACATATTTTCTGATGACCTCCTGCTTTGCATACAACTCAGGTTCTCATTATCAGAAGTCTAAGGGGGAAAAAAGATATTTCTTTTTCAGGGAAGAATAGGACAGACAAGATGGATAAAGCAGAATAGCTTTTTTTCTTTCTAGTGTCCTGTGCCTGGTATCTTTGAAGTCCTATGAATCTGACGCTGGTTGCAAAGAAAAAAACTTTATCAGGAGAAATTATTTTCTGAATCTCTTTTTATCAGAGTCCATTAAGACCTACACTGGCTGGTTTCCTTTTCCACTGGATATGCCTCTGATTTTTGAGGAGGGGAGCATTATTAAACGTAATAGGATACTGAGTGGTTGAAAAGTTAATTTAGTTTGAGTTTAACAATTTAATTCAGAAATATTACTGAATGCCTACCTACTGTGTTCACAACAGTAAACAGTGGTTATATATTCTTTACACTTTAAAATTAATACCAATCCTACTTTCAAACTTAGAATACATAAAAATTTAATTTTGTCATCTAACATTAGTCATCATAAAAGAAATAGAAAAAAAGGACTTGGCAATTTCTGTCACATAAAAACATTCAAACTGTAAAGTCTAAGCACTCATTTTTCAGTGAGAAATTTTTAAACTAAAGATGAGGACAGTGAAGGTTTTTTTTTGTTACATCAATGGAATAGTAGTTTCCTGAGAATAGCATACTCACCTATGATAAAACATTCGAGCCATGCCCATTCTTTGCTTTTCCCCTCCTGATAGGACATCTTTCCAGTCCATAATAGCATCCCATCCTTAAAAAAATAAAGATACATATTTTATAAAGCAGTCGTTTGTTACAGTTTTGGACAGGTGATTCTGGCAAGTTTATTAACACAAAGAACCTGGTATTTTACACAGAACACATGATTGGATAAACTAGAGGGCCTCATGTATAAGCTATTTGTTTTAGATATGATATTTTGAATGATAATAATTCCTTTTGCTGACAAATCATCTTCTAAGAATTTGAAATACTGACACTCTTAAAATTTGTTTGTTTCTGAATATGTCCAAAGAGTTGGTATAGTTATACTTATTTTGCAGGGTGTTGGGAGAAAAGACCAACACATTTGCATAGGCCTATTGCAAAGTCTACCAAGAGTAAGGCAGGAACTAACGTAAATGCTTCCATGTGTCTGGCACTTTATGAGTTTTCTCATTAATATTCCACAATCTTGTAAGGTAGATATTATTAGTTGCATATTATAGATGGGTACCCTGAAACTCCTGGAATAATTGACATGTCTAATTTTACACAGCCAGATATCAGAGTTGGTATTTATATGCAGGTCTATTTTCATGCTTGTACAGTTTATTTATGCCACATCTCCTACAACTTCTTAGTTACTGACTTTCTGTTGGCTATTTATTCAAAAAAAGCAATGCTTCTATTTTTAAAAAACAGTTTAGATCTACACATACTGATATAGAAATATACTCAGAATTTTTTTATATGAAAAACCAAATTGCAGAATTATGTGTGCCATTTTCCTTCCAGGAAATTTCTATTTATTTAAAACTATATCCTTATATTAGGAAAAATGCCATCTAATTCGAAGTTCTTGCATCTAGTGAAAACTGTTGACATAATATTTCTTCTGTGACTGAATTTTTAGAACATTTTTCTTATTCTTTTAAACAATATGTTTTTATTGATTTCAGAGAGAGGAAGGGAGAGGGAGAGAGAGAGAGACCGAAACATCTATCTGCTGCCTCCTGCATGCCCCCCTGATTGATTTAGAGAGACTGAGACAGCTAAGAAGAGAATGGTTTTCCTGCTACCTAGAGATGTACAAACTGCTTTATTCATGTCCATTTGTTAACACTTCTTCTTTCTATTTTGTAAACTCTTTGATGGAATGAAACATAGTTTTTAATTCCATCTTTTACTAAAGCAAAACATTTCTCTAAGCAAAATATTAGGTAGTCTAAACAGACCTTCAGTAGGCTTCTTCCAAGTAAGTGATGACCTTGCAAATGAAAGTGCTTTCTTGCTTTGCTTAAAAACACATTTCATGTTTTAAGGGTTAGGCAAGTAAAGTGGGTTTCCTTGGAATTTTTTGATGTGTAAGGATATAACAATTCTCACTAGTACCCAGGAAGCTAGAAGATAACATAGCACAGTGGAATAGCATAGTCTATAGAACATTGACTTTCAAGTATGGTCTGTGGTTGAATCCCTGTCTCACCACTAGCTATAGGTCCCTAGGGAATGTATTAAACATGAGTTAAACCCACATCATTTGGAAGTTAAATTGCTTAATATGTTGTATTCTGCATAGTAAGCACCCAATAAACCATTATAATTATGATTTCATTATTAAGGTTGGGACATTATTAAAAACAGTTCTAGAACTTCTTGATGACTTCTAAAAAAGAAAATACCCCACATTTATCATATGTTTCTATTTGGATTATTGGATTTCAAACTTATCCAAAATAACTTACCCAAGATTAACAGGCAGTATATATTCTGGCACAGTGTTTTAGAACTGGGAAGGAGTTGACCATATGAAACAAAAAGACAACCTGCTTTCCATATGTGTAGCATCTATAAATTATGATATTACAAACAACATGAAAGTAAATATAATAATACCTCTGTTATCTGCCTCATTTGCTTCTTGTTAAGATCAAATGAAATAATATATGAGAAATTTCTGTGTAAAATATCAAGTACCATCACACAAAGACAAAATACTGTATCAATATTACAACTAGTAATAGTGCCATTAGCTACTAATTCTTGTGCATTTACCATGTGCTACTGTTCTAAATGCTTTACATAGTCTTATTTAATCTTTTCAGAATCCTTATGAGGTAGATATTTACAGTTGAAGGTAGAGATAACCGTGTTAATTAAGACTTCATTCCAAAACTTTGACTTCAAAGCTTATATGCTTAATCACTGTACTACCCTCCTTCTTCTGATCATGGAAAAGGGCTAGAAAATAAAATCCTTGCAAAATTAAACCTAGAAATAAAGCTTGTTATTTCAGTAGTTTTTCTAGGCTATCAAGTTATATGTTATCAAGTTATTTGAAAGTCTGACCATTATAAAGCAATTCTTTTTTAAGCTCATATATATGACTTTTATTCCTATTCTTTCAAAAATATTTTATGCTGAAAAACCACAGTACAGAAGTTCCTATATTTTATCTAATTCTCTATATGCTGCTTGAGAGAAAAAAAATGTATTGGTAAGACTGTGGGTCTAAAACGAAAAAAGAAGTTTCATGACAATTATCTCTCAAATTATTAATTTTAATGTAAGCCAAACTTGACAGGAAAATATATCTGTCATAAACTTTACATATATCTAGATTGACAGTGGCCTCAGGGACACTTGTACATCCAAATATGAAATAATAACTGTTTTAAAGTGCCAGCAGCAGACTTAATAAAAAGCCAAGTGTGCTGCATGAAATATAACACAAGCAGAAAAGGATGTCAATAATAGAATAGCACTAAAAGCTGTTTTTCTTTACTTGTGTACTTATATTCCAATAATAGCATACATTCAAATTAAACCACGGACAATTTACTCATTTATTTTTAAAAAACAAAGTTAAGTACATTAAACAAAAGAATGACAGAGCTTACCTCCTTCTCTTTGAACGATGTGATAGAGGTGGACATTGTGTAGGATACATTCCAGGTCGTGGTCTGTGTAGCCTTTATCACGCATGTCATCCACTGAATCAGGATAGATGACTTGATCCCGAAGACTTCCAAGAGACATGTATGGCCTATGAAACACCAAGCACACAAGAATCCTAGTACAACATCATTTCAGTTTACTCAGTGTGACATCCCTGTGGTCTGAAAACGCCATTGCAGACCTTACATACCACATTTCTAGGGTTGTATTTGTTGCCTAGTGATGAGTATTCTTCTCTCGGGCACGGCAGGATAATACACTGCTATGTTCATGTACAGATTTACTGAAACTTAGCCACAAATAAAGTTCTATTTCAAATCTAACAAGAGATAGTTGGATAGTTTCAGCAGCAGAAACACATGCATGCTTCATTTTATTTTATAAATGTTGCTTCTGTATTTCATCAAATATTATTTAGGTTAACTATTATAAAATTTAAGATTTTGACCCAGCAATGTGAACAAACAAAACTTTTCTTTAAAAAAATGGTATTCAAAATAAGAGAAATGCAAATTAAAACTATCCTGAGTTATGTACTTGTACTTATCAGATTGGCAGAGTTTCAAAAGCTCGTCAACTCATTCCAACCTCTGGAGAAATAGGTGTGCTCATAGAGTGGTGAAGGTGTGAAATGGTACAACCCTTTGGAGGGAATTTGGCAAACCAACATATCACTTGACTTTTGATTACTTCTAAGAATTTACTCTAAAGATATACTTCCTAAAACACCAACAGTAACTAAAATAAGTGCATACTGTTATCCATTCAGATTATTTGTAATTGCAAAAGATTGAAAACAACACAAAGGAGACTGACTAAGTAAACGATGATACCTGCCTCTTATAGCTATAAAACGGGATGTGGAAACCTTTGGAAATTGATAGAATGATTTCCCAAAATGCTCACACAAAGGAGACTAAGTAAACTATAATACCTGCCTCTTGTAGCTATAAAATAGGATGTGGAAACCTTTGGAAATTGATAGAATGATTTCCATAAGTTATTGTGAAGTTCAAAAAAAAGCGCAAAAGTAGATGTATAGCAGGTTTTCTCAACAGTTCCATCATGAATATACTGAACTACATACTAGTATTTCTTTGTTGTTGAGGGCTATCCCGTGTACCGTAGGATGTTTAGCAGCATACCTGGTCTCTATCCATTAGACACTAGTAGCATCCACTACAGTAATGGTAAAAAAAATTCTTCAGATACTGTTCCCTAGGGGGACAGAACCATCCCCATTTGAGAACTATTGATCTATACATTCATCTCCTGATATCTGCAGGGGGGTGGGGATTGGTTCCAGGGCCCCTTATGGATACCAAAATCCTCAGATGCATAAATCCCTTATGTAAAATGGAGTATTTGCATATAACCTACAAACATCCTCTTGTATACCTCAAATCAGTGATGGCGAACCTTTTGAGCTCGGCATGTCAGCATTTTGAAAAACCCTAACTTAACTCTGGTGCCGTGTCACATATAGAAATTTTTTGATATTTGCAACCATAGTAAAACAAAGACTTATATTTTTGATATTTATTTTATATATTTAAATGCCATTTAACAAAGAAAAATCAACCAAAAACTTAGATCATCTCCAGATTACTTGTAATTTCTAATACAATGTAAATGCTATGTACATAGTTGTTACACTATTGATTTCCTTGTAATTACAAGGAAAAAAGTCTGTACATGTTCAGTACAGACAAGCATAATGACATACAATACCCATGAGCAACAACATAACACTTATAAACATTTTTGATCCACGGTTGGTTGAATCCGCAGATGTAGAACCTGCAGGTACAGGTGGCTGACTGTAATATACCACCTTTATGTAAAATAAAATTAAGAAAATACATATTGTATGCATATATGCATAACCTGTGGACACAGACAATAGGGTAGTGAGGGCCTGGGGGAGGAGGGCAATGGGAGAGGGCTTGAAGAGGTTAATGGAGGGAAAAGGAGGATCTATGTAATACTTTCAACAATAAAGATTAAAAGGAAAAAATAAAATACATATTTATCTGCTTATTTTTACAAGGAGAAACACAAGAAGGTTTTGCTTATATTTACAAAAGGAAACACAGTAAATCAGAAACTAATGAAATTGATTACCTGCTGGAGATGGGAGGACCAAGTCAGATTGGATTTTGGGAAGAGTGACCTAAGAATTCTTTCTACATAATTTTTACTTTTAGACTGGAAACAGCCCAAGTGCCCATCAGTAGACGAGTGGATAAATATGCTGTGGTACGCTTATACCATGAAATACTATGCAGCAGTAAAAAAGAAGGATCTTTTACCCTTTGAGACAGCATGGAGGCACCTGGAGAGTATTATGCTAAGTGAAATAAGCCAGTCAGAGAAAGACAAGTATCACATGATCTCACTCATATGTGGAATCTAATGAGCAAAATAAACTGATGAACCAAATATATCCAGAGACATAGAAGCATAGAACAGAATGTGAAATCTCAGAGAGGAGGCAGGGGGAGGGTGGGTGGCTGGGAAGTGATCAAGCAAAGAACTTGTATGCATGTATGCATAATCCATGGACACAGACAATAGGTTGGTGAAGGCCTGGGGAAGGGGGTGAGGGCAGGCTAGAAGGGGTCAATGGGGGAATAAAAGGGACATACATAATACTTTCAATAATAAATATTTTTTTAAAAAAGAAAAGGCTGATGAAATTATACAAAAATCTATCTAATCTAATAATAGACAAACAGGGTAATTGACCATACCTTCACTACACCTCCCATTGGCTAATTAGCGAGATATGCAAATTAACCATCAACAAAGATGGCGGTTAATTTGCATACGTGGCTCCGGCAGGAAAACGGTGCCAGCAGCCAGGGAAAGGGAAGGCCTATTGCACGAATCTTTTTGTGCAACAGGCCTCTAGTATATATATAAAAGCCTAAGCGACCAGCCGACTGGCCGGTAGCTATGACGTGCACTGACCACCAGGGAGCAGATGCTCAACACAATAGTGGAAACCATGGGCATGGAAACATGGAACAGACTGATGAATCTCAGAGGGAAGGGGGGAAGTGGGAGGGTAGGAAGAGATTAACTGAATATCTTATATGCATACTAGAGGCCTGGTGCACCGATTTGTGCACTGGTGGGGACCCTTCGCCTGGCCTGTGAGGATTGGGCTGAAACTGGCTCTCTGACTCCACCGAGAGGTCCTGGATTGTGAATCTGTGCACCAGGCCTCTAGTATTTTATGAAATTACATATTCATTAAAGATAACAAATATTGCTTTATTAAAGTGCCATTTTCTCTCAATCATTGTTTTATATTATGTAAAATGGTAAAAACAGTACATCATCTATGTGTTTAATGAGGTAAACAGAAACTAAGGGTACTTTAATAGGTTTTGTTAATATATTTATTTAAAAATATTATTATGAAGTTAAAGTTACCACAGAATCCTCTAGAAAGGCTATGTCAAGAAAATGTGGTATAATGTTGAATCTATTTTGAAAGCACAAGGGAATGGAGGACCCTATATCCAATGTTTATATGATTAGTTGCATGTGATCCTTTTTCCAACTCAAAAGCCTGGAATTTAACATGTTAACTAGCTCAAGTTTCTCTAGTCCTACCAAAGTTATACATAATTAAAGTACTCTATACTAAACTTTCCTTTCTAGTTATATAGACCTATCCAAATTATCTTCTAATTATTTCAGGTAGATCAATGACCATATCAGAATGTTATTAGCTTACTTGCTCTGGCTCATCAGGAAGAGAATCATGCAACATACAAAGTATAAGCAACAACCAAAAAATATATTGCTTATAATTAGTAGCTATCAACAAAGAAACACTAACTACTTTTAATTTACTTTCTCTAAGTAAAATTCAGAATCACTTCTATTTGTTGTGAAAAAAACACTGAAGTAAACTCATAGGTATCACATTATAACTTAAATAATTATTATTATTTAAACAGCTATCATAGTTGTTTTTCTATGTGATCTAAAATTCCTTCAAATGCATGTATAATTAAAGCTGTTCATTGTAACAGTAAAGTTAAAATAAAAATGTTTGAGATCACTTCCATTCCCAGTGATTATGGCTTTTTATAGTTATTACAAATGTCTCAAGGTATGTTTGTAATTGGTTTTATATTCCCCACCTTTTTGTCCACTTAAATATCGACAATTTATGGTTGTTTTGGTAAAATGTACTGACATTTATTAGGGTTTATAATTGTATATTTTTATATTATTCTCTATTTTTCTAATTAATAGGGACAAAGGCAGAAAGAAGGAAAAAGTATACAGAAATTTAACTCTGCACTTGGAGTTTCTAGAATCATTACCCAAAATGCTAAATATTTCATAGTCATCTAGGTTTTAATTGTGAACAATACTGATCAAAGTTTCACTGCAATTTAACTATACTTAAGGCAAGTGCTAAGTTTAAGAATAAGGTACAGCTAAGAACTACTACGCTGCCATAGTAATAAGAAGTTAGCAATCTGAAAGCCATAAAATCTAGCTATTAATAATTCATATAAATGTACATGCTGGAACTGATCTGTCATCAAATTTTTTTCATGAACAGCAAAAATAAGATTTGAGTACTCAATTCATAAGCCATTTCTAATATTCTTAAAATAAGTATGTAGCAAAAAGAAGAAATACTCAACTGAAAAGAGATAGTTACTTATTACTGAAATTATATTTTTAGGATAAGACATTTCTAGGTGCCAGAGCAGAAATGTGCACTTCCTCTTAGGAGCAGGGACTGTGTTCATTTCCAACTAATAAAAATAATATTAATGGAATTATCAAAGTATCAGTAAGCTAATGAGAATACAAATTTTTTAAGAGTCAACTTTGTTAAGAGTATTTATCATTATATTAGATTACTGTATAAAATTTCTGATATTTTGATCTTTAAAAATTACCAATTCCACATGGCTTACCCTAATAATTGATTCATGAAATGAGAAAAAACTTTTAGATGCAATGAAAGATTTTTTCCATTACTATTTTTTAAAAATTGGCCCATAGAAGAGTTACATATGAAAAAAGGCAACATTTTTCCAAACAGTAGAA